ATTCTTAAATGTGCGTTACTTGAGTTCACGTTTTGTCAACTAACTTTACTAGATGGGAAGATATGGTTATTAAATGTTTGATATTATGTGACGTATTGCGCGAAAAGGGATATCACGTATTATTATTGTGTCGTGTGGTCTTGTGAGTAATTGCAGTTCAAGATGTAGGTTAGTTGTGTAATTAAGATATTTTATTGTAACAATTTATAGTTTGTGAAGGGAACATTCGACTCACACCGCTTATATGTATACTCTCGCGGAAATGAAGAACATGCTGCAACCACATGGCCTGAGCCTCCGAAAATTACAACGACCCGTCATTGACATTCTTCCATTGTCTCATTCATTGACCACCTTCGACGCTCATGCTGAACAGTCCCTCGCAACACTCTCAACACAGAACAAAAACACGCTGATGACACTGTTGTTATACGCTGAATACAGCCATTGCCATCCGCGACAAACATGCTTCTTCTTAGATTGTCCTGCAGGAACAGGCAAATCGTTCGTCTACAAAACCGTAATTCAAACCATCAGAGCTAGGGGAGACATTCCTACAACCGTAGCATCGACAGGAATAGCTGAAACATTGTTAGGAGGTGGACGTACTGCACATTCCGTTTTTAAAATACCTTTGAAGCTGACCACGACTTCCACATGCAACATCAAACCTCAGTCACTCCACGCTCACCATCTTCTGAAATCGAAAGTGATAATATGGGACGAGGCCCTAATGACACATGCATACGCATTCCAGGCAGTTGACAGGTTATTATATTACCTCACGGGTGACACGCAGCCATTTGTAGGCAAAACAATTCTATGGGGTGGGGATTTCTGACAAATGCTCCCCATCATTATGCGTGGCTCCCGGACATTCACTGACACCAGTTGCATTAACAAACATACTTTGTGACGTAACATGCATGTCCATACACTAACAACAAATATGAGAGCTCCTCCTCACGAACAAGATTTCGCAAAATGAATATTGCGCGTAGTAATAAGACAGTGTCTGCCCAGATATTCGCACCTCCGTCTGTCTGTCTTTTTCGTGATGACGTGATGTTAAAAAAAAGTTGCCCTTGGTTTGAGCGAGGTGTCGTCCATGAAACGTCCGGTTTCGCCAACAAAAAGTCGGAAGACTGTATGTTGATCATTAGATCCTACTCAGTGCAAGTCTGGAGCAAGAAAGGACCGTCGTTGTCACGTCAAGTCTGGAGCAAGAGAAGAACGTTACTGTCACAACAACTCTGGAGTAAGACAAGAACTTTTTTGTCACAACAACTCTGGCGTAAGAGAAGAACGTTACTGTTACAACACCACATCCCTGGCAGTGAGGTCAGAACCAGCGCGAGGGTTGGAGTCGCCAAGAATGATGAGTCTGTCCTGCCTTAGAAATCCATCTTTAGCTCGTAGATCGTGGTCTTATCGTTACTTCGGGAGAACATTGCCGGAGCATAGCAGCGATAACCGCAAGGTGGTTTCTTTGACATATCACAGTGCCTTTTGTCGTCATCGTCGTATTTCTCATTTACGTGAGGAAATGGGTCATCTTCACATCGGTGCATCCCAACATCCTCGGCCACCTCAAGAGTAGATTCATGAAGAGAAACCTTCGCATAATGATGCTCTCCAGCAAGAGGTTGAGTATCTCAATACAAATGATACGACATGAAATACTTACAAACGATGTTTGGCATGTCTCGGTTTTATGTGGACACATGCAGCATACAACACAACTGATGTACTTACACGTGATGTCCTTCCTTGATTGATAACGACAGAAAGAACGCATGCCACAACCTGATATACTCACAAAGTCTTGCTGTTATCTTGGAATGATGTCGACACGTGGAGGCAGGCAAGTTTGGCTTGAAAGAGTTCGCTGAGGAAGACACTTAGTACGCAAGCTGATATTACTTAAAAGTATCGATCAGGTCGCCAGTGAAATCCCTTGCGCCGGCTCATCTTTTTAAAACGCACGTCGAGACACGCACACGAGTCACCCACCATGTGACGGCAAAAGTTGATGATTATTAACACAATCAACTCCATTTTCTGGGTGTTTCTCTAAGTTATTGTTTTATGTATTGATTGTTAGTCTATTGTCAATGCAGCTTCTCGGCAGCTTTCTGTCGCAATGTTTCATCAGATTTTGCAGGTGTTGTTTTCGTCCATCCATTATGTTACTTTCCTAGGACGACATTAATGCCCCTTTTTGTACATTTGCAATTGACGCATCTGTGAAAGATGCGAGAAGGCTAATGTTTTAACAAATCGATTCCTGATACAGGACACCGGCGGCAAGGTTTATCACGTCACTCATACTTGCTTTCTATTGCGTTTGAATTCGTGAAACGTATTTGTTCCCCCCCCCCAGTCCATGCTACCGGAAGTTGAATGAATCGTCTACACTGAAATTGACTCCGTAAAAGTCTCAAGCGATCCGATACAACCCCCAACGCATGGATCGAAAGTTCTTCAAAGACCCACCTTGTGCTATTTCAAGATTTTTTTGACAGCTCCCGAAACAAAACACAGAAAAACCAAAGTAACAAGTTCTGCAGGGGGCTTGACCGTTTTCTGTTAGTCACGAAACTAATTAGAAACTTTATCGATTGATTGAATGGACTTGGCGGACAGAAAAGATAAACAACAACGTTAAAAAGAAGTCTACCATCAACATAGAAAGATGTCTACCATCTGCACCGTCTTCACTTCAATATGATTATCTGTTTCGTTGAAGAATTTGATAACTGTCAGGCAAAAATAGGGGGTTTACGTCGGTCTGATTTCTGTACAATTACAAAAGCTTAACTGAAATATTATTACTCATTAATTTTGAGCTACGCTAACAGAGACAGAGAGAGAGACAGCGAGAGAGAGAGTAAGACAGAGAGAGAGAGAGAGACAGAGAGATAGACATAGAAGGAGAGACAGAGAGAGAGAGAGACGGAGACAGAGATAGAGAGAGAGACGGAGACAGAGATAGAGAGAGAGAGAGGGAGTATGGCTGGGCTACAATATCGATTCACAACTGATCAGCCTAGTCCTGATATCCTTTTGTAATACGTCATAACTGATTTTTTTTTTTAATTGGTTGTGAAACAGAAATCCAATGAAGGTTGGGAGAAGAAACGAAGATCAATTGCGAACGTAAAACCGAATAAAGGGTCGACAAAACAACTCATGCATACTAGTTATAAATGAGTTTCTTGCCACACACTGCAGACACTGAGAGAGCAGATGCGCCGGTGACACGAGTCAGGACACTCACCACTGCAAGGCTGTGTTAAGAAATGAGACTTTGAGCTATCCGTTTCCGGTTAATCTCACAGGAAAAGGAGTCTATGACCAGAGCTTATATGATTTGAGTCTATGGAACTCGCCATAGTTGAATGTCTAAATCGGCAGTCCTTGACTTATGCAGTCGTAACAGAAGGTACAAATGATTTGTTATGTGCGGAGTAAGCTCTAAGTCTGACGCAAAAGATTCGATATGTACTAACTTAACTCTAACTCTGACACAATAGATTTTATATGCACGGAGTAAGCCATCAGTCAGACACAACAGATATGATATGTACGGAATAAGCTCCAAGTGTAACAAAAGAGATTTGATATGTACAGAGTAAGCTCTAAGTCTGACAAAATATATTTGATATGTAAGGAGTAAGCACTAAGTCTGACACAATAGACTTGATATGTAGGAAGTTAGCGCTCAGTCTGACACAGTACATATCATGAGCACGGAATAAGCTTTAAGTCTGACACAATAGATTTGATATGTACGGAGTTAGCTCTAACTATGATACAATAGATTTAATATGTCCGGAGTTAGTTCTAACGCTCATAAAATAAACTTGATATATAAGACGTTAACTCAAACTCTATACTATAGACTTGGTATGTACGACTAAACTTTGTAAGAGAGAGCTGATTCTCAAAGGATCCTACAAAATAGTCTCTACGGAAGGCCTCATCTCTGCTTCATGGTACTGTTCTTAGAATTTCGGTCAAAACATCGAGTCTTGACCTGCAAGCAAATCAACTGTTAAGTTCAAGAGAGAATATCTGGGAAGATTGAGCTGACATTTAAGGCACACATATCGTGTGTGTAAGGGGGAGCGGGAATTACATACCAGGCAATCACTGAGGAGGTGTACTTAACAACTTAAAAAGCTTGCCAGGTGTAGGGAAGCGATATTGGTATGTGGTGTTATATGTAGGTGTTCTATTTTAACGCTCATTTAATCTTTTCCTGGTGAACGACCTTAGGCTCACTCCAATTCACGTGCGTTAGTATTGGGCTTGTCTTATTCAATGTACTTGGTCACAAATCGTAACAACGATTGGGTCATCCACTTGGTAATAAATCGTAACAACGAGTGGGTCAATGCACTTGGTCACAAATTGTAACAACGATTGGGTCAATACACTTGGTCACAAATCGTAACCAAGAGTGTGTCAATCCACTTGTTCACAAATCGTAACGAGTGGGTCAATCCACTTGTTCACAAATCGTAACGAGTGGGTGAATACACTTGTTCACAAATCGTAACAACGAATGGGTCAATCCACTTGGTCACAACGTGACCAAGTTATCATCAAGAATTATTTATATTATGATAATTAAAAAAAAAAAGAATTCATCTGTACAACAGAAATACAAAAAATCCTTAAAATATTATATCTTTCGCTATTGGTTAAAACTTCCCCATATCCCTTCAGACAAATATCATTTATTAAGTAACAGGTACAAATTTGATACTTCAAGAAACAATGCCGGCAATCGAATAAAATCATAACGGTTATTCAAAATCCACTATGACCTTTCTTGTTGAGTGTAACGCTGTGTGTAACACTACCCCTCTTGTGTCTCTTATAACTAATATATGAACAGTGTTACTGTTGTAGCTTGACTGCGGTCCAGTACTTCTTAACTATTGATAAGATGAACTGCTATGAAAGCACGAGATAAATCAATAGATTTTCAGTCACCATTTAACTTTTATTTGCGTTGACATGAGGCTTCACATTATAAAATAAAATATCCAATAGAATAAAACAATCGTCATGATATCACATAATTCATAATACAAATAGATGAACGATAGTTGTTCCTACTCAATACGATGTAACTTAAAACAATGCTAGAGCAAAATCACAATACAAAATGCGTCTTCACCTTCGAAAACTCAGCTATCAACCCCCTTCCTGTCTCTCTGCGTATGCCATTTCAAAATTCCTCTTAATACTTGAAAATAATGAAAAAATCAATTCTTATCATTAGTGAGTTGTTACACACAACAAAGCCCTAATAAACTGATCTATACTCCAAGGCCACGCACGGCGAGTCTCGCAGTGGTTTCCCAGTCCGATAAATAGCAAGTAATACAAAATTTCCCATGGGGGGGGGGCGTCCATAAAGTAGGTCACTATGCAGATAGGGAAGGATTTTTAAGAAAAATGGGACAGTTTGTGGCACGGAGTTGGGGGGTAAAGATCTTGTTTGAAGTCACACACTTTTTTTTCACGCTAGTAAAACATGAGATTGTCAGTGATGTTAAACTTTATGTTTTAAATGGATGTGTTCTGACAGAAGATGTGTGTCGTAGATTAAATATTAATCATTTGTTAACTTTTTAACAACGTTTAAGTGCGAAAGTATGACGTACTGTTGTGTGTGTGTGTGTTAGGAGAGGGTGTTCCCTCAGATTTGTGACAGATTGTGACAGGGGGCAGGGAGGAGGTACAATTGTTTCCAAAAATAGCTATACGTACTTTATGGATGGCCCCATATCAATTATAAAGCAGAAGATTATCTCCATAAAATTTGGGCTGGATAAAATCTGCCCGTTAGATATTTATACTTCATTTGACACGACCTCCTTTGACCAAGTGATTTCTTCTCCTGTTCTTTTTTCTGGATGGTATTTCCTGACCTTTTGTTAATAGCGTTAATTTTGAGGTTTGTGTCAATTTAGAAAATGTACTAAATTTTTCTTCTGGAATCGATTTCGGTAACTTATTTGTGATAAGATCTATTAAGATATCGATACTTTGCAGCTGTTTATTTAGTCTATTTGTTCCCCTATCCAAATCAAGTATTGTTTGCTTTTGGGCTTCGGTTTTAAGTTTGAGATTACGAAGCTGCGCGTATTTGTAGTTGATATCTTCTGAAGCTTTTATCTGAGAAAACTTGTTTTCGAAATGCCTAATACTTTTCAACACTTCATCGCTTATCATCGGCTCTATTATTTCTACCATGAGACTCGTACGAGAATCGTTGTATTTGCCAAAGTGTTTGTTGGTATAGCACAGCCCTTTCGAACTCATATGTTTAACTTGAGCGATAAGTCTAAAAAATTGTTTCTCTCGTATCTCTTCAGAACTGGTTACGTTATCGAAAACAACTATTCTGTGATCACATTCAAGGAGAAGATCTCTTAACCCCCCTGCCTGTGATTGACACCATTCCTCGAAAGTCTGACGAGTCCTTTTAGATTCTTTCTCAAAGTGATCTCCTCCTGTCATTACAATAATGCAAAATTTGTGTACAAACATTTCGCCAAAAATTCTTTTCAAAATATGGATTATGTTAGTATCATGTTGGGTAAATCGTTGACCATATCTCAAAACTAGAAGAATTGCGTGATAACCTTCTGGACTGCTCATTATAGCATCAGTCATGGCACGAACGACAAAAGCCATTTTTGCCTCAGATTCAATTACTGAAGTTGGTACTCCTGGTGTATCAATGACTTTGATGATGTGACCGTAGTGATCATTATCAGCATATGCTACTTCTTGAGTCAGAGGAAAGTGATCGCTAGACATCTCAAAAGCATGGTCTCCCAAAATGCTGTTTCCAGTTGAACTCTTTCCAGTCCCAGATCGACCAATAAGCAAAAAATTGTTTGATTTCTCACAATGGGAAGTTGTTCTGTATTTTAAAAAAATGCAAATACATATTAAGCATTTTTCTTAAAGTTTAATTATATATTTAATAACAAGCTTCTCAATTTTGTAATTATTTATAATCAAGATATCATTAAAGTAAAATATGTAGTAGCAATAGATTTGGTTTGTGTGTTTCTGGTGTTCGAATGTGTGAGATGAGTCAAAATGAATCAGTGTAATGTAATTTGATTTATTTTGACTCAAAAGAAAAAGACCCCCTTCACCCCCCCCCCATAAAAAAAATAAAATAAAATATAATGTATGTTTGGGGGGGGGGTCTTTCTCTTCAAATAATAAATATAATAACGAAAGAGAAAATACAAAACACCAGCTTTTTTCATAATATATTAGTATTTAAATATATATGGTTGGGGGGGGGGTGGTGGGTGTCAAAATTTAGATGGTGCAAATAATTTATAAATTATGATGTGTAAATGTTTTAAATATAATTTTAAACGATTTATTCAATGCATTGAATTGATTTTAAAAATCCATTAATTTGTTGTTCCCCGGTTAGAGAGCTTAGCTCACCCAGAGTTCCACTGTGCAAAACGTTTCAATTTTTGTAAATGTTAGATACTGCTTAACAAGGTCTTATGGTAAATCAACCAATTCATTTAAATACAAACTATTTGAACAGTTGGCCAATACTCGCCGTCTAAAATTATGTGGCTATGATGGAAGGTGGTATTACAGCATGTGTTGCCTGCCCCCCGCCCCTGGGTACCGCCAGCATGGCTATTCAAAGCTCGATAAGTACTGTCCATAAACTTTTCTTGTTTATTGTATAAGCCTTAGTCGGGTTCTCTGGAGTCTCGTTTCTTAGTCCTGGACATATCAAGGATTGGTCAATGGTTTTGTGGTTGGGGGGGAGGTTTGGTAAAAGCGCGAGCTCCTGTTAAACCACTGGGCTAAAAGAAAAAAATAGCAAATTGATGGTATAAATGGTCTAATAATGCGTACTGATGTCTTTCTTGTAAGACAGATATACAAGGATAGTCATTACTAATTTTTCTTGAATGTCCTTATCATTTATTGTTGTTCATGAATACCAGAGCTTGTCTGTACGCTGGAGACATTGAACATAGAAAAATCAATGTTTCCTTACAATTTGTCACTCTTTCCTCCTACCAGATATATCCTAATCACATATATATCTTTATCCTACCATCTACACAAATTCTGTCCCATGTGCACACTAAGTGTCGTCAAAATGTGTAGTTAAGCTGAGAACAGCAACAGAAAAAAAAAAAGGTTTCCATATCGCCTAATTAAAAATAAATTCTGGGAATTTAGTAAAAAAAAATGTGTTTAAGTATATCGAAGAGGCAATTTGTTAAACTATCTGAAGAAAGATATAGGAGTTTGAAAAAAAAAAATTCAAGCAAGAGAATATTGGAAAATGTATAACATTTCCTTCATATAAAATACGAACATTAATAAATATATATTGTCTTTTGTAAACATCTAATGTCTTATCAACATTATTATGCCATTCATATACGATTTTTTAAATAAATTCTTTTTTTTTTTAAAACACATAAAAATGTGTTGACCTTTCTACAAAACAGTACTTGTTTTTACTCTATAAAAAACTCTGAAATATTTAGAAAAAGTCATTAATTTATGATCTAATTTGTGTTTTGCATTCCACGTGTAACAAGATGTTAGCAATGCTTTTGTGATAAAAACCTTTTTTTTTTTTTTTGGAATGAATTTTGTTTCGGAAAAGTTATTAATTAATTAAAGCTATTTACTACAAAAATAGTTTGAATAAAAATGAAAAACCGTATTACTATTTAGTAACATACAAAAATATTTGTGTAACATAAGCAGGCCACGCACGCCGTCGCTTGACTTTTCGAGACCCTCTTCCACTTTTCGATTTTATATAGCGATCACACTTTTTTTTTTTTTTGTGTTCGATAAATTATTTAATTCTGGATAGTAAAGGAAATATGTGCCAAGTTTGGTCAAGATCAAACGATTCATGAAGAAACGTATGCTGAACAAACACACAAAAAGATACGGACAAATTAAATGTGTGTCCCCAGCCCCCAAGTAGTTGATGTTATGGGTTTCTAATCCACCAGCATTTGAATTTGGATAATCGAATGTTTGCGTTCTAAGTTAATTTTTGACCCATTAATTCATGCCGCAACCAATATTTATTTAGCTCTAGTAAGAAAAAACGATATTTTGGGCCCCCGAGACCATACTCAATGTTTTTTGTAATTTCAATACCCACTCCCAGGATTTAATGCTTGATAATGATGGGTCTGTGTGCAATCTTTGCTCAAGATATATCAATCCATGTAGAAACGTAGGCGGAAAAAATACACAAACAAACACATTTTCACAATTTTATTCATACTAGCCAGTATACCCGGGGCTTCCCGGGGTCGCATTCATAAAAATAAACTTCTACAACCTAAGAAACCTCGAAGTGGAGGGCGTTGTAGAAAAACTTCACTGAGTAAAAATTAAGATATCTTTTTTCTCTGACATAAAAGGAATCAAAATCCCCGCTCCCTGGTGGATTCCATTCTCCGGTTGTTTCTAATTCCCAGTGGATTCCCTTCATTGATAGAATACCACTAACTAATTGGATATTGATTTCCGATAGGATACCGTTCCTTGTTGTCACCCACCATAAGGTTGGATCAATTCCTCATTTGGACTCCGTTCCCTGGTAAGATCTGTTTCCGATGGGATTATGTTCCCATGTGGTATCCCATTTTCCTATGGATCCCATTCCTCGTGGGCATCTTGCTACCCGTTGGGATCCCATTCTTGGTCCCGTTTCCTAGTTGAAACTTGTTTTGTGAGATGCACGGAAAGTTATCCCTAAGATAAGCGTCCAACATTGGCGCGATACATATATACATGTAGTAGTGTATACTGTAATATAGGTCTTTTAACTTCATTGATGGATATAGTTTAGGCCATTATAGAGGAAAATTAATGGGGAAGTGGTTAGAAATTTTTTAAAAAGTATCTTTAATTCTTATCCAATAACATTAGAGGATACTCGTTGAAAGTTACATTAACTTAATAGAAATAGTAAGGACATTTTTTTAGAAATGGTTTTTAGAAGAAAAAAAACGAAATTTCTATCATAATCAAGAAACTTCATGAAACAACTAAACAATACTGAGAAAATCCCCAGGAGAGTAAAAAAATAAAGAGAACGAAACTATATATCCTTATGGAATAATATTATTTTTATTGGACATTCAAGATTTAATTTTATTACCTCCTCGAAACGTGTGGAAAGTGGCATCACTATGATCGAAAAAATCTACAAGAAAATGCCATACATATAATGATTGTTTTCTTTTAAACTAAAAGAGGGGCGCCGGGTGGAGGTCCATTCCAGAAAGGTACATTTTAGTTACGCATAAGAAAGGGCGACCCTATAAAAAGCATTCGGATGAATAAGTTACCGTTTAAATGTTGTCCCATTAAATTTAGGTTAAAAACGCAATAGCTCTAACGTTTTAAGATTTTGATCTCTCTGAAAAGTTCTAGAAGGCCCTGAATGGAATGCTTTCAAATTCACCGACATATCGATATGGTCTATGGATTAGGGTATTGCTGCTCCGCGTCGCAGTAATGGACCAATGCCAGTATAACCCTTTTCAATTAACTTAACCGACTGTCAAATTATAAGGCTTATAAATTAAAAGGGGGGCGATCGATCCAGAAGGAGTGCCTAGTATGAATTCTGTACTCTTTAATATTTAAATATAGATCAAATGTGTGTGTTTACCCAGCTTAATCTAGATCCGTTCATTCAAGTAGGAGTATTTTTTTTATAGAATATGGACACTCCTTATGTTTGTTGGTGATCAGTCTTTAGACATAGGTCCTAGAAGGAATAAACACGAATTTAGGGCCCTCACCCTCAACGGAATATTATGTACAATACATACACCCCACCACCAGTATTTCCTTCTGAATAGTGATGGATATGTGTGCCAAGTTTTGTCAAGATCCATCAATCCATTTATAAATTTAGGCGGAACGAACAAACAAAAGTTGACATTTTAGTATATAGAATGCTTATATTTATGTGTGTGTGTGTGTGTGTGTGTGTGTGTGTGTGTGTGTGTGTGTGTGTGTGTGTGTGCACGCACGTGTGTGAGTGTGATGTGATTAATGAGAAAAACCAAAGGGATTGTATTGAGGTGTTGAGAAGTCAAATCACTTACCATTCTCAATTTCTTATGAGAGTATTTCATTAATGTGAAATAAATATGTTTTAAAACACTTTGGATGAAGACACAAAATCTAAATGAGAACGAATTATGTTATGACTAAGAGAATTCACTGAATGGTTTTTTTTTTACACTAGTGACATAATTTAATACATATGTCTTGGGTTTAATTTTGTTTAGTTGGAAAACGTAGACTTTATTAAAATATGTATTTATTTATGTGCTGAAAATGTATATTTACAATGCAGTCACAAACATTTACATTTTTTTTGGATCAATAAAAGAATCTTATCTTAAATGATCTTATCGGAATGTTGAACATACCTCGCGTGCTCGATATTCAGCACTTGGAGGTCCTGATCAGTGTCTTTTGTTTTGAAGTCGGGAGTTATTCGTATCGGGAAAGTACTCTGACAATCACTTTTATTCGTCCTTACAGTGCACTCCTTAATTTCCTTTTCCCCAGTTTCTTGGCCCCATTCGAGGTTTAATTGCCAAGTAACCTCAAACTGATCTTCCCCGTTTATAGCTTTTAGTATTTCTACTTTGGGAATTTCAATGGCAGACTTTGAAGCATCGGTTTTCAACGAGTTCATCAAGTAGTCTGAATGGTCTGAGTTTTTAATATCCAGTTTGCACGTTACATCAAATGGATATGGATGCACCTCTTTCATATTTTCATTGCGAACAATAATCGCAAAGCAAGCTGCAGTCTTAGTAAATTTGATGACACCTTGTATCTTATTTGATTTTCTCCCCGTATCATAGAGGGGTGTGAGGACCGTGAGTTGTTTTTCTGCGTCAATTTTTCTGTTCGCATAATCAAGTCTAAAATTAATATTTAATTTCTCTGAATCAACCATTTTAAGTGAGTTTTTTTAAATATTGTTATTTATTTTAAACGGTTCTTTTTTTAAATATTTTTTTTTTTTTTTGTCAGAACCCTGCTAGTTCATTCATCGTTTTCTTCTGGCTGTTTCTTAGAATATAAAGAGAAATTAGAAGATTAAGACAATAATGAAATAATATTTAATTTCTCTGAATCAACCATTTTAAGTGAGTTTTTTTAAATATTGTTATTTATTTTAAACGGTTCTTTTTTTAAATATTTTTTTTTTTTTTTTAGTCAGAACCCTGCTAGTTCATTCATCGTTTTCTGCTGGCTGTTTCTAAGAATATAAAGAGAAATTAGAAGATTAAGACAATAATGAATACAATTTCTGCTCTACTGAAAAACTTAAGTGTTAAATTAAAATCTTAATTTAACAATCACACATTTTTGGTAAGGTGTAATTCGTGACTTAACGCGTATTTTAATTCAAAGAGTTTATTTTTAAGTCTTTAAAAATATTAAGAAAAAAATATTTGTTCACTAAGCACATAGATGTATCGGAACATGACAAAATGCTCTACAATTAGTCGAAGTCTCCAGAAACATTCGAAATAATATTCCTTTAGAAGTTATAGCAGTTAATCTTATAACTTTCGTTTAAAAGTCTGATAGTTGAGTTGTCTCACATATTTTTGTTGCTGTTTTGAATATTCTTTCACATTAATTTGAAGTGTTTGTCGCACTTCGATTGCTACTTTTATTTCAGAGTTTTTAAAAAATTGCTAAAGTTTTTTTTTTTTTGGGAGGGGGGTGTTGTTTAACTTGAAATGATCATTTTACTGTTATCTAAAACCATTAAGGTGGTCCCCGAATCTCCTATGAATTAAGTCATTGAATTTCATGTAATAATTTTCAATTCCAGACGAATGCACACTGATTTCTGAAAAAAAGTTACGGTTAGTTGATCTTAAATGTGTGCATTTAACCGAATAGAACACCAATGTGCCCCTGAACAAACACTAGCTCATGCCCAGCACGTCATGACTTGTGCTTTAAAAATCTATACCTTGATTTAACGAAGACGCTAGCACACTGTAAGTAAACAAAGAACAACTACGGAGAATGTTCACATATTTTTCTACGACCTCCGGGAGAGCGTCGCTGCTGGCTCGGTAGGATAATAATGAATAAGGGCTGAACAATACTCCACAAAAAAAAAATTAAATAAATTGATAAATAATAATAATAATGATAATTGCAGTGGCGTTTAACATCGTTTATTTTCATTATCAAACGCACCCGAAACGTGTAGAAGCTTACCACTTAGCATATGTATATTTTTAATATTTAGTTTAATTATTTTTAAAATTCAAGCTTATACGAATAGGTAAAATTATTAACAATCAAGTGGCACTGCATATTTTTTCAGTTTGGAAATAAGTTTAATAGAAAATCGAACATGATATTTATGAAATAAAAATCAATATTGAAATAAATGTGTTTTTTAAATTCCATTTTATGGCTGACAGTACTTACCTTGGAACATATGAGTCTTAGTTTTGCACGGATTTAAATTAAACAACGTTAAGAATAAGGTACGTGTTTGTCAGACAATTCCCTTTATAGAACTTATAGGTTAGCAACATATCCACAACAAACGTAAATCAATATTACGTTAGTGTGGGCTGGTGCGAAGTGCATCACAAGTATTGGTTGGTGCCTACGTTGACGTGATTGTTGATAGTAGGCTTGGATCGTTGCCTTGATGTGCCGCAACCACGTGACGTACGTTGTCTAGGGGTCGGTCCCCTCTGTACTAGCCAAATACAATTTTTCAAGGGTCTAGAACCCCTTTATTTCTAGCTCCTACAGAGCTGACTCTTGCTCCAAGTATCAACAAACAATTCAGAGATTCAGGTTTTCTTATTTATTGGCTATGTGTGCCTAACAATGGAAAATTTATTAGAAATAAGCTCTGGTGTTCAGAATGAAAAAACTCCACCTACTATACTAAACAGTTAAAGTTACACAAGTCTTCTTCCATCCGTAGAAAAACTCACTGCCTTCACAAGACAAAAATCATACACATATCCACAGCACTCGCCACTGTTCACTCCTTAAAAACTCATCTCACACACGTGGTTCCTCCTGACACAGCACACAGGTCATACCTTGACCGAGAAAAATAAAAACCTGTGGGGCACACGGGGGAAAAGAAACTCACCCAAATTAACATTATAAAAGCTCACACAGACAAACTCATGCGATCTGACCGTGACACCTACCTAGTAAATATTTAGTGAATAACAACATTTGTTTGTCAAGAAAAAGTTATATTGCTTTATAATTTGCATTTGAAATTAATTATTTATTAAAACTACATCATTAATAAATGACTTTGGGGGGAGGGGAAGATTTCCACCAAGTAAACTATCTGTAACAAGCGAGCGGTGCTGACATCATAGTATTTGCTGAACGAAACATGAAACAAGGCTATATTTAATGTAAGCATAAATAAATCTTAATCTTACAAAATACGAAAATGGGGGGGGGGGGTACAGCTTTTTAAAATAAAAGATCAATATATTTTTAAGACTATTTAAAATTGCTATTTAAAATAAATAAATAATTACATTTTATATTTAGGAGAAATTATTCGTGTAATTGATAATGCCAAAGTAGTCTTCTACAAATCGGTTTGTACCATTATTGGTGTAGCCACGATGGAGCAGAGGGAGGGGGCATGGGGCTCTAACTCCGTCCATTTTAGGCGAAAGTGGGGCCCTTGAATGAATGAAATAAAAGTTTATTAATTCAAAAAAACATTACGCCCCCTACTATAAGCCATGGAGATATCGGAAAACGTATAGATGCTAGGAAAAAAAAGCCGAGGTAGATGGAGAACATGAATATGAACAGAATTAGCCTTACGCAAAATTTCAATGTCGATTACATTAATTTTTTTATTAGAATATTACATAGCAACAATAAGCTGTCAACATTTTGACGACATTACACACACGCTAATTAACAACCTATCCTATTCAGTTTATGGTGAAATACAAGTTTCAAACAGCTTGTCAATGCGTTTTTTTAACGTTGTATATTGACCTTAATATTGATAGAAAGGTGAATCCAAAAAGATTTCACTTTTTGTTTTAAATCCCCCCCCCCCTCACCAAATACACTTTTTCCCGCACCCAACACCCCGTTCAATCAAGACAAACCAATTTGTTATATTAAACGGTAATTAAGGGTGTGGTTGTAACCATGAGTGAGCTTATAGTTTTGTACATTACGGTATTTAAAATTGATTGCTAGTTTTACATTTTTGGATCATCAAATATATCGAGTGTGGCGCTATTTCATTGGGTCCACTATTTTACTAATTTTAATTGGTGAAAGTTACCATTTACTCGACTTTTAAAAAAATTTTTTGGAAATGAGAAAATATCGTTTCTTAAAAAAAGTATTTCTTGTTGTTGTAGTTGCTTTATTGGTCCAGTGATCGACAAACCGGGGCGCAAAGCAGATTTGACTCCAAAAACCATGGTTCTTGAAAAGAAATGTGGCTCTCAAAATCTTTTTAATCGTCTTGCTGCTGATTTTTGGCTCTTTTGACTCATCAGTTTGCCGACCACTGGTTTAGCCTATTCTTCTCCAATTTTACTTCCCACATTTAAAAACACGTTGCGTCCTCTCAACAGCACACAGAACCCTGATTTCTAATTATTGTTTACTTTCACAATTCTTCCTTTTTACTTACCTTCCTTCGACAGGTCACATCTGGGTGGGGCGGGTGGTCATGTTGATACCATTGTTACACTGTCTATAGCGGGCCTGTACAACATACGGCCCACGGGCCACATAAAGCCCACCAGCACCAACTTTGTGGCCCGCAAAGTAACGAAATATTCTTTATTATTATTATTATTTTCTTAATAGATTTCCCCGCTGCTCTATTTTCTTTCGGCCCGCACAGGCTGTTCATAAAGTGTTACGTACCGCCTTATATTTTGAGTTTTGCTGGCCTGAGTCTCTAGGGTTTACTCAACATATTTTTCTTTTTTACAAGGCTGTTGATTGCAAGCTAACAAATAATTTAATTGTTGATGTCATTGGTTTGAAATTTCAACTTTAACATTATTCGAAGTTAGAGACCAACCGAAAGTGATTTTCTGAATAGGCCGAAAGTTTAAAATAACTTTCGGCCGAAACAGAAAAAAGCCCGAAAGTAAAAAATGAATTTCGGCCGAAACCGAAGCCGAAACCGAAAATGAAATATTAAGTTATTTTGAAATTCGTTCCCGCATACATTCTGCATACATCGAAAATGATGAGGGAAAATATAAATATTTATATTCTTTCAATAAAAAATGAGATAATCGTAATATTTTTAAATAAACATCTAATATAGGGGTCTCAAGCTCGCGGCCCGCGAGCCATTTGTGACCCGCAAGACGATATTTTGCGGCCGGCTACATGACAGAAAAGTTTAGTGTAAATGCGCCGGCCCGTTTCCCCCATTCTCATATCTATAACGTGACTCTCCGCGACGGCTTCAGTCGAATCTCACCGACTAGTCTAGTTCTGATTTTTTTTTAATGGTTCTATATATTTTTGTATGAGTAGGGGGATGAAAGTGAATCCTAGTTCTTGAGAACCCTTAATGATTTTATTGTTATTTATAACGTTTTAGCAGATTGTAACAGTTCTAATCGCTTTTTTGTGGATTACTTGATGCGGCCCACTCTCATTCTGACACTACCTCCTGAGCCCCCACCCCCTTCTAATGATTTGAGTTTGAGACCCTTGATCTAATGAATACTTTGGGCTGTTATCATATTAATATAAAAGTAATGTAAATTGCTTTACAATTTTTTAAAATTAGTATGGTAGGAGAAAATTTGGCAAAAATTGGGGGGGGGGGGGGGGCGGGGTGAAATTAATGAAAAATATTATTTTTTTAAACCGGGTCTCAAAAATTGTGGTTCTAAAAGATCGCTTAATTTGTTTTTAAAGATCGTTTAGTTAGTTGTTATTGATCGGTTAGTTTGTTCTTAAAGATCGGAGGTTTGTTCATAAAGATCGCTTAGATTGTTCTAAAATATCGCTTAATTAAATCTTAAAGATCGCTTAATTTTTTCTTAAAGATCGCTTAGTTTGTTGTTAAAGATCGCTTAGTTTGTTGATAAAGATCGCGTAGTTTGTTGTTAAAGATCGCTTAGTTTATTGTTAAAGATCGTTTAGTTTGTTCTTAAAGATCGCATAGTTTGTAGTTAAAGATCGCTTAGTTTTTTGTTAAAGATTGTTTAGTTTGTTCTTAAAGATCGCTTAGTTTTTTGTTAAAGATCGCTAAGTTTTTAGTTAAAGATCGTTTAGTTTGTTGTTAAAGATCCCTTAGTTTGTTGTTAAAGATCGTTTAGTTTGTTGTTAAAGATCGTTTAGGTTTGTTTTAAAGATCGTCCAGTTTTTGTTAATGATCGCTTTATTTGTTCTTAAATATCGTTTAGTTTGTTCATAAAGATCGCTTAGTTTGTTAAAGATCACTTATTTTGTTGTTAAAGATCGGTTAGTTTGTTCATACAGATCGCATAGTTTTTCTTAAAGATAATTGATTTTGTTCCTTAAGATCGATTAGTTTGTTTCTAAAGAACATCTAGTTTTCTGTTAAAGGTCGCTTAGTTTATTCCTATAAATCATTTAGTTTACTATTAAAGATCATTTGTTTAGTTGTTAATGATCATTTAGTTCGGTCTTAAAAATCGTTTAGTTTGTTCTTTAAGATCACTTAATTTTTTCTTAAAGATGGTATAGTTTGTTTTAAAGATCGTTTAGTTTGTTCTTAAATGACCAAAAACCTGAGTCTAAAAAGTCTAAGTCAATTTTGGCCGAAATCGAAGAAAAACCGAAAGTTGACTTTTCTCTTTCGGCAGAAACCGAAATTAAGCCGAAAGTTAACTTTTCAGTTTCGGCCGAAAACGAAACCTTGCCAAAAGTGATAAAATGGCCACTTTCGGTGCCAAAACCGAAGCCGAAATTCGGTCGGTCTCTATTTGAAGTATCCAACATATTTTGGGGAAATAATCGCCGCCTTATTCATGATTCTTTTTATTCCCATTTTAAAATGGCGTATGCATGACATTTAAGTTGCTTGTCTACGTTGTGAGATGATTCCATAAGGGATTTTCGGTACATTGACACTTCCATTCTTCATTGAAGCAGCGTATACAAGGAGCAAACAGATAACTATGCATACCAAGTTGTTATTTTAAAATCATTAACTAATGAGCTGTGTATAGGGTTAAACACATACATTTAAGTGTTGTAAAATGTGAAATCTTTAAAATAGAAGCTGGAACTTGGAACTGGAAATCAGATTCCTTAAGCAGGATCCTTTTTCCGGAGCTAGCATAACTATTTAATGCTACCACCTAATAAAATTAAATTTAGTAATTTTAAAATAATTAGAAAAATTATAATTTTCACCATTCTTTTACCAGCTATCTTGCCCAACTTTTTCCCCAGGCATATTGCCGAACTCTTCTACAGCTATGTTAACCTCCTGTTCTAAATGTATGTTACCCAACTCTACTACCAGCTATTTGTC